TCTGTAACAACCTGGTATTTTTACAAGACCCTTGTTTTTTCTTTTCCTGCAATGTTATATCTCCCCCACCATTACCTCCATGCAAAACTCAAAGCCCAAAGCAAACAGAACTGTGTGATATAAATATGATCTTGAACTTGCAGTTTTACAGAATGCCAAATCAGTGATTTCAGAGCTCAAACCTAACAGGCTGCATCCCTTCAAGTCTAAATTCTGGAGCAGCAATTCCTCTCCCTCCATCCTGTGACAGTGGAGAAGCACAGCACACGCAAGGCTCACCAACTCTTAGTGGTTTTTCAAGTGAAAACAGGTTGTGACAACAATTTGTAACAACTTCAGGGAAATCTTTTTCTAGCTAAGGGTCAAGGCTCTTAAACATATTTGGCAGGCTGTGGCCATATGTTAACAACTGTGTCAGTACTGTTCTTAATGTGAAGAAATAATATGATAGGCTGTATGAAACAGCTGTGAGTCATATATAGCCTTTTAGGATATAGAGGTTCCCAACCCTGAGCTATAGAAACCAACCTCAGTTAGGGGAAAATAAAACCTAAATTAAGTCAGATAATGATTTGTTAATCTCCGAGTTTCATGTTAAGAAAAAGTATTATCAATGCAAAAATAATCAAATAAGACTTTTTTTTTTTTTCAACCAGCACCTCCACAGAAAGAAGTTTAAAATTATCATCCTCTACCTACTACTCATTCTTACCAACATCAAGAGATCAACATGGAGGCAGCCTGCAAAACCAGAAGTAACAGTGTATTTAAGATGCTACATTGCTCCATTCCTCCCTGGGTGTTTGTGCACCTGTTTGCAGGATAGAGTTGAGGGAGGCATCAGTGAGCAACACTGCAAGTCAGATACCAAACAGCTCTACCAACATACATTTTATTAGCTTGCAAAAGCAGAGAAAATAAACTTTTGCCTTAACTCCAGTTTTCCAATAAATGTCTAAACCAAGTGCATTTTATCTTGTTTATAAGGTGAGTCATTAGAAGAAAAACAGAAAAAGAAAATGGTGAAAAGGTTTTGCTACCAGGTGACTTCCCATTTCACACATCAGAAGTCTTCAGAAACCTGCAGGTTTTGAAGCATTAAACAGACTGATTTAACAGACAGAAGTGAGGAAAGAAGGAACACGTGCCATTTATCACTTAGCTTCATATGTATCTGCCAGATCTTCTTAATAAAGCAGCACAACATTTCAAGTTAGTACTTTTTTCTTTTTGTTTTGTATGCAGGGCAGGGAAGCGGGAGTACAGAAAGCTCTGCTCAGTGCAGCAGATAAATTACTATGGAAAGGAAGGAGAGAAGCTGAGAGAAGCTAAGAGAACCCTGCTTCCTGCAGGTAGGGAATCCAAAACCGGTTAACTGCCCATCGTTCACACCCATGAAGTGCACTCAGCACTACACAGCTCCCACTCATGTGATATTGGAGCATAAAAATTTCCCAGTGTTAATGATGGTGCCTGAATGTTGTGTTTGAAGCCATTATACCACAGCCAACTCATAAAATGCAAATCTAGTAACTGGTCCTAGCTTGCTGCTCTATTTGTAAAGCACACATTAAACTTACAGGTACTTTCACATCTGACAAAAATTAAAAGTGCTCTTTTAAAAACACGGAGTGTTTTTATCTTTACAAGTCATCTAGAAGACTGCACTGTCAAATGAAGAGTTTCTTTCTGAATATTTACTGCCTGTGTTAATGGCTACTTGACACAGGTCCAACAGCACTGACCTCTTAGTGGTTTGTCTCCTCCTGTGCTGCATGCTAGTCAGTCTCCTGAGAAGATGACAAATGCCTGACGAGGAAAATGGCTTTCCAGACCACTACTGGCAACGCTCTTCTCTGCAAGCCATCCTTGTTATTCACTATCCTCAGCTGCCAGAGGGAATGGCACAACATTCCATGAAATCCGTTTGCCTGCACACGTGCAAGGAGTGGGCTTTCTCCTGATGCCTGCAGTCAGACTTCTGAAAAGCCAAGAGACTGATGTGTATGAAGTCTAAAGCAGGCACGGTCTCCTCACTTCACAACTGGAGATCACAACTAAGAGCCTTTCTCAAATGTACACAGGTTAGCTGAACTTGAGCTGCCAAGAAAGGCCTTCCCCATCACTCTGTCAATTTGTTAGACCGCCCCAGGTCTTGATATAACTGATTAACAGTTCAAAAGAGAACCATGACAGCTAAGCCTCCTGCCAACTCTACAAGTGTGCATACACATACACTCAGGAAAAACGGTCCCCAGTCTTTTCTTACAGAAGTCATTAACAAGAATGAGAGTCAACACAAAACATGGCATTGTCAAAATCCTACAGTTTAAGTAATTCTTAAGCCCACCTTCAAGTGAAGAACTTGCTCCCTGTTGTGACTAACAGTAGCTACAAATACAAGAAAGGCTATTTCGCATTATTACAAAGAACAAACTTGAAACCATAAGGTTTACACTTTGCTGTAAAAGCACCTGATTAAAATGCTCAGATTATATGTAATTACAAATGCAAGGATCTTTTTTTCAGAACAAAGGTAAGAACAGATCTAATACACCTACTAAAAACCTTCAGGGAAGAGCAAAATCTTAGCCCCAAGTACCCTAAGGTACTTAATGATCAAATACCCCAAACCCCAATTCTTAAGTACTTCTAAAGGAATCACTCACAGAAGAACCAGCCCCAGAACTTAACTGTTCTCCTCAGTGCTGAGCTACTTCAAGGACAATTCCAGTATCTGACATCCACTAAGAAAATATCAGAGAAACAACATTATTTCGGAAAGCTACAGATTTCAAGGTATTCTGTATTTCACAGTATAACCTGGTGTTTTCATACAAAGAAGATCCTCCAGCTGTGCAGAATCTGGGCAAACACTCCTCTCCCTTGCCTTTGCACACATGATGCTCCCAATGAGCTACTTAATGGCCTGCCTTGGCACACCCAATAGACAGAACTTATTACGGGCCACTTATCTGCTCCCAGTAACTAAGTGCTGATTTTAACAGTCTTCTCCAGCTGTCAGAAAGCCACAGAGATTATATAATGTTTGGCCACCCTCTGGAGACAAACAGAGCAGGCATAACAAAATTTATCACCCTTGCGTGTCTGATGATTTATTAAATTGCAATCAACATCAATGACTTCAGCATTCATTTTGGATTTTTCCGACATACGAGCTTGCGAGTTTCCAAGTGATACTCTGATGGCAAACCCAAATAAATTCAAGCTGACAGCACAACAGACCACATACTGAAGCAGCTCACTATTGATGGACTTTCCATACATCTTCAGAACCTAAAAGCTTCAAATGGCACTGACTGTAAGTAGACGTTAACAACTATCCTGGAGGAATCTTGTCTTACGATGCTATCCTCTGTGTCAAAAAGCCTGCTGTGCCCACCACACCATCCACCAGCCCTGTGTGCAAATGCTTCAGGAAATTAAGGAAGCCCCTAGCTATTTCATTACTAAACTAAGTATAAATTCCTGTAAGTTTTTTTCTACTTTTTTAAACGAAGACCCGTTTCAAATCACACCACAACTTCGCCTGCCTTTATCCAGGTAGGCATTTCTTAACTTAGTTTAATATGGCACTCCAACAGAAAACTTACCATGAGCTACCAAGAGAAATCAGGATAGTAAGGAGCCAAACAGCGGTTCACCAGGGCCAACACAGATGACTTACTGACTGCAGTTTTCAGAATCCACGACACATTGCAGGGGAAAAAAAAAAGTGACCCGCTTAAGAACTTTTCCATTTTTAACTCTGAGCACTCAGGGAATGTGCTAAGGAAACAATCATCCCACTGAATCATTTCAAGAATTTTACAGCCAAGATGATTTATTACTGTAAAACAGGTCTTGGAAAGAAGAATATTTGAAGAGACTCAATAACTATTAAATCAGTGTGGAAAACATGACACTGGAGGAATTGCATATGCCTGACACATGTTCTACCACTTTTTCTTTTAATCTTTTTCTTTTAAATAGAAAGTGCCTCTAAAAAGACAGCCTGTAGAACTGCCTACTCTCTTAGACAAAAAAGAGATAGTAAAATTACATTCACATGACTAATAGAAAAATAATGAAGAACCCATGAGACTGTTTGACAAATAGAAGGCATCAACAGTATCAAAATCTACACTTAAAAACATACTCATCCCTTACTGAAAAAGCTGAGATGCTTTTGCAGACAGATATTTGACTCAACAATACGCAGAAAACCTCATGCAATCTTTTAATGACCCACTTGTTCAGCCATCACGAAAACAAAAATCAGAATAATACTAGGTTTTTTATTACAACTGCTGTGTAGATGTTTTTATCACATAGCACATGGTCTGTTCAAGACAGCTAAAAGCACACATCCCCAGCATCTACTACAAACGAGTCCGAAAGATGAGTTGTAAGGCTTGCCATCTGAAACACCACCGAAAAATGTCTTCCTTCATTGACCAAAATGGAAGAAACTCCTGTGCTAAATTGCAAACACACACACAGTACTCCAAATAAATGTTACCAATATATTCAGAAATATTAATCAATCTTAAAGGAAGTTTTAAATTTTCCTTACACCAGTTGGTACTATGGAGAACTTTACCACATTTTTCTCACCTCCAAACCCTTTCTCACCCTTCTTGCATATCTGTAGGTTCCTCTGAACACTCAAGTTTTATCAGAAATGACTTAAGATGAAGTGTTTCCCCACAAACCTCTTCTCTTCACATTTTTTGAGCCATCGGGGCTCTAAGAAAAGCAATAATGAAATTGCAGGACACAATCCTGAGCAGTATCTTGACATAGAAATGAGAAACTATCTACTAAATGCCTCTCACCCTTAGCCACAAGACTTGAAACCAGCTAACTCAAAACAGCTCTACAAAGCACGCGTACCTCGCTGACACAGTCAAAGAAAGAAGGAAAACTAATAGTCCTTTCAATTAAATATATGTTCTACATATACGATCACACTAAGTAGTCTTTTTTGACTGACTTACTTTTTGAATTGTCCCTGGATGCTTGTATGACAACTCTGCCATCATTTCTTCCTCTGAAATGCAAGAAAAAATGAAACACTGCTTTAAAAAAATTATTTGCTTGAAATGAAGTTTCTCATTATATTGTTAACTAATTCTAAAAGGTTACTGTTTGCTTTTTCTTAATAATGGAAAAAAGTTGTGATGTACACCCAAATTTTTCCCGTTTGATAACCAGAACATTTCTGCTACATGAAACTGCTCTACCACGATGAGCAGCAGAGTCTGCCTTGTGACATGTGCATAATGCCAAAGAACGTGGAGAATTCTCAACTCTATTTCAGAGTTGGCAAAAAAAAATTGCTCCTAGCCACAGATAAACTGACAGAAAAAACACAAAGCAGCATTTATTTGCTCAAGGACAGCAACACAGCATCACCACACACCCTACAGCTGTCCCCAGTCCTGCTTCCAACATTTGCTCCAGTAAGATGGGGATTTTTCTTCAGTTTTGGTCATACTTGCTAAACTCAAGTTTTAGGCACTCTAAAGCACATCAATGGCCATTGAACATAAACAGTTTGGCCACTCTGTCCTCCTCTGTGCTTCAGATTCACATCCGTAAAAAAGAAAATTATGTTCATACCTTACTGGGAATTCACTGAAGTCTGTAAAGCATTTTGAACCAATCAATCAAGAAAAACCTCAAACACATAAAAAAGAATCTAAATAGAATTATGAAAGTATTGTCCTTAAACAGAATGCTCTAACGATACATTCTGTTTAGCCACGTAATTAATAAACCTTTAGCAAAGCCAGCAGAAGAATTCCTCATTTCCTTTCCATACCAACCAGTGACCTGGAAGAACTACTCAAAACCACCATGAGGAACTGGTTATGTTCGAGACAATGGAATAACTAGCAACAGCGGGATCGACTGGAAAATGAAGTCAATGACATTATGTCATTCCAGGTTAGCACTGTTAGCCTGCAAAGAGCAGTAACACGTAGGCACCAGTAAGGAGATGGAAAGAAGGACAACGGATAAACAGCAACTCTGTTAATCAGCAGGGGATGACGGAGGGACAAGTAAAAAGACCTATCAAGCTGCTTAACCTCCCTTCACAGAAATGGATGTGGAGAAGGTGCAGCAATCACCACAGTCATCTGAGTCTGCTAGCTCTCATTCTGTCACGCTGCTTTTCCCCAACCCAATAAATGAAGTACAATCTTCAAAAACGTACAGTAAAATCAAATGGAAAAACAAACATGAAACATAAAACTATCAGTGGTTCACAACAGAGACCATACTCTGATCTTAGCACAAGGAATTCAGCCTTCAGCATCAGCAATAAATAAATGATAGATCAGTGCATTTAGAAGGGTGTCTCATAAGTTCATCAAGCAACTACGTGTGAGAAATGTTTTCGGAATCCGGCCTGAATCATCTGAAGTTCTAAACTCTCATTGTAAAAAATGCATGCCTCACTAGGAGGTATGAAATTCTCTGAGCCCTTTAAAAGGGACATCATGAAATATTAAGCTATTAAACTTAATGAAGCAACAATAGAGCTTTATGAAGAATGTTTTTCACTAATGACCTGGCCACTGGTTTTGTTACGCCTGTCTGTAAAACACACAGCCAATATTTGTGGTTTAAAAAAAAAACAACACAAAACAAAACAAGAACAAAAAAGACATTTCTGGCCTTAAAATGTTGATGTGACAGGAAAAAAAAAACCCAAAAAAATAAACACCAAGTACAATGAAATGTACAAAGTCAAACCACACAAGTACAGATTTCATCCTACTCCTCCCAGTTTTAAATAGATGATCGTATTTTGGAGATGGGTGTGATTTTATCCAGCTATGCCTCCTCACAATTGGCAACTGCATTCCGTTCAGTGGCTTCTTATTCCAAATTCCAAACTCTAGTTGAAAATAGATCTCACAATAGAGTCCTACAGCTGAATATACTCTAGGGGAAAACTATTTCCTTTAATTTATTTCAAACTCATTTGCGTGACAGTATGTCATTAGTATGTACCAAAAAATATCCTATGAACAGAGGAAGAACTCCATGCCCACAATTTAAGTTCGCATCTCACAGTGGGAATGAGCTTGTAATTTAAGCACAAACCTGCTGTGGTTGGATTTTGTTGTTGATCTTTCCTATCATTAGTATTATCATCTAAGAAAAAGAACTGTCCACAGACAGCAACTACTCAGATATCACATGCTATCAACAGAAAACACCACAAACACCATTTCTTAGATACCCCAAATCTTCTGAATAGCTAAAAAGAGCCACACGGACAACCTGGCACAGGTAAAAATAACTGAGTGTGCTACAACACCATGCAAACAGCTCAAGCACAAAGGGAGGTCATCCCCCCTCACCGATTAACGAGAAATAAAGGAGAAGGAAAGGAAACACACATTCAATTTGTCACTCCATCATCAACCTCGTTGTCCTGGAAACACGTTCTGCAAGAGAAGTGGTACCTAACTACTAAAAACATTTTCTACCACTACTTTTTCCCTCCTTTCTACAGTGCTCTGTTTCATAAATAGCCAGCAACAAATATTTCTCATAAAACAGCATATAAAAATGCATCTCTTGCTCCTTGAAGAAAATATATCGTTCCACTTGAGCATGTGGTACTTACAGGAATACCAGGTCTGCATGAAGCCTTTGGAAAGAATTCTAATTTTGCTGTTGTTAGAATGACCTACTAACTGAACCTTTCACTTTGGGAACATGCAGTACTGGTAAAAGGTAATTGCTGATTTTAGAGCACCACATTTTTTCATGACAGCAGAGCGAGAAACATGAAAGCATGCTCCATTTTCACAGTAAAAAAAAAAAAAAAAAAAAAAAAAAAAACAAAACCACACAACAAAAGAAAAAAAAATACAATGCTGCCAGAAGGGCCCAAACCCTGCTTCTAGGTGGGAAAAAGTCCAAACATACAGCACGTGGAACCCTGGTCAAGAAAAATATTTGCTGCATCGTCTCCCCTTCCCTTGACACAGACTGCTCCCTGTCCTACAATCAGCTTTTTCCTTCCATGCAACTTAACAGAAACACAGCACCAAGGACCCAGGTCTGACTAGGTCAACATAATCCATCTTCCCAAATACTCCATGAGTAGTGCTGCACCACAGAGTCATCGAGTACACCGAGTTGGAAGGGACCCATGGGGATCATCAAGCAGCATCCAAGATCCAAATCCTATGGCTGAGTGAAATCTAAATGCTCCCTCAGCTCCAGGCTGTGCCCACTGCTCTCTGGTGCAGAACCTTTCCCTAACCTGACCCCAACCTGATTCCAGCTGGTACTGTTGCCTGGTTTTATTTTACAAGAATACAGAAAATTAATAAAAAGGTCTTGAGAGTCAGGCTCCCCACGAGACAAAAACATACTCCCTGATGTCCAACAGCCCAGCAGTTACATCAGAAGAAACCTACGTTTAGGCTTTAGCCAGACAGGTGAGACTGACTTCACGTCTTGTGACAGCACCTCAGCACCAGCTCTCAGAGTATTTGGGCTGAGAATCCTCTTCCTACATCTGCAGATGACCACGAGTGCAGCAATGCAGCAAGTAAAACCATCAAAAAATCTGTATATATCTTGATTGCACACATTAGGTTATAAAGTCAGTGCATGCATTCGACAGTGGGACAACCTTCCAACTTAAGTTCTGACAATGTGTTACTGCATTACTGTCCACAAATAATAATAAAAAAAAGATGTTAAGAGCAGAGTTTTGATGGCCTCCCATTTCCAAAAGAAAGCAGAGCAACCTAATGGACAAAGTGGGTATGGGGCTGGTAAATGTGGTCGGCAAGCTTTCTCACCATAGAATGGTTTGAGTTAGAAGGCACCTTTAAGATAGAATTCCGACCCCTGCTATAGCAGGGACACCTCTGACTAGACCAGGCTGCTCAAAGCCACCATCCAGCCTGGCCTTGAATGCTTCCAGGAAAGAAGTATTCTTAACCATATGCCTACTGTCCCTCCCTCAGAAGTGGCCTCTGCATCACACTGATCTCTGGAAGATGCCCAAGTTCTGTGCCGAAGAGCACGAACTGATCCAGGATAAAATTGTGGTGTGCTGTCTGTTTTAAGTGATGAATTACCATGTCTTGGTACCCAGAGCTGCCTGTGCCCTTGCTTTCTCAGTTTATAATGGTTCTTCTTTGGTACAGTTCTTTATGTTCTACTTCTAGAGAAGAAAACACATTTTCAACTTTCATATTAAACAAAAGCTGGTTTTAGAAATGCCACTTGTTTCAGATCTAAACTTTTAATTCCACATTCTTCTGTACATTAGTCTTGCTAGGCAGCCCAGCTGATACAACAGTTACATCACACCCAAGCAATAAGCGGGATCTGGCCTAACAGAACACAGAATCATTAAGGTTGGAAAAGACCACTGAGACCATCATCTAGTCCAACTCACCCTCACCATCCCCATTAACAACGCCCCTCAGTCCACACCCGGCCTTTCCCTGAACATCTCCAGGGATGGTGACTCCTCCACCTCCCTGGGCAGCCTGTGCCAATGCCTCCTCACTCTTCCTGAGAAGAAATGTTTCCTAACATCCAACCCAAACCTCCCCTGGCACGATTCAAAGCTGTTACCTCTCGTCCTATCAAACCACTGTAATAAATGTAATTATTTAAACAACTTCAAATTCTTACGTACAGAACTGTCTGTGTACTGAGTAAATTTTGCCTTTGATACTCTCAGTCACCCCACCCGTGCATATTGTTTTCTAGTCAAATTCCAGAGTTTGTATTGCTCTTGAAGAGAAACACAATAATTCACTCCCTTTTCAAACTGTCTGTTAATTACCAAAGTTATTTGGCAAGTCCAAAGGTGTTTAGATCCTTCAAAAGACCTATGAATAAATAGTCAGGTTCACCACTTCATTTAGTGCGATATCTACTGTTTATTATCAGTCTTTGGCAAGAAGGAGGCCTGCATTAATGCCACATATTACTCTTTTTGTACTTCAGATTTTATATTAAACCTACCTGATATGCCTGTATATAATTACTCAATTG